AGGTATATTTATTCAGTATTTCGTGACTTGTTAAATGAAGGTGTACTAATTATTTATATGGATGATATAGTCATACCGGCTAATGATGAAGTTGAATGTTTAGACAAATTAGAAAGAGTATTCAAAACTGCTTCGGAGTATGGATTACAAATAAATTTCAAAAAGTGCCAATTCTTAAAACGTAAAATTGAATTTTTGGGACATGTAATTGAAAACGGAACTATTCGACCATCACCTTCCAAAACTGTTGCTGTTCGAAACTTTCCACAACCGCGTAACTGTAAACAACTACAAAGCTTTTTAGGACTAACGGGATATTTTCGTAAATTCATTCCTCAGTATGCTAAAATAGCTAAACCTCTTAGTGACTTACTTAGAAAAGGTATTGGTTTTAAGTTCGATTCCGAACAACAGGAAGCTTTTTGCAGATTAAAAGAAATTCTCTCTCAGGCACCTGTTCTACACATATTTAGGCAAGGATATCCATTAGAACTTCATACTGATGCTAGTAGTCAAGGCTTTGGTGCGGTATTACTCCAATTGTCTGATGATGGTAATTATCACCCAATCCAGTATATGAGTAAGAAGACTTCACCGCAGCAAGAGAAACTCTGTAGTTACGAATTAGAAGCCCTTGCAGTAATAGAAGCTCTGAAGAAATTTCGAAACTATTTGTTAGGGACTAAATTCAAAATTGTAACTGATTGTAGTGCTTTTCAGAAAACTTTAGATAAGAAAGATTTAACTCCTAAAATTGCGAGATGGGCAATGTTTATTGAAGAATTCGATTACGAAATTGTACATCGTTCAGGAAGCCAAATGAAACATGCTGATGCTTTAAGTAGAAATGCTTTAATTTTAACATCATACACATCCGATGTAACTGAGAAGATTCGGTTAGTACAACAACAGAATGAAGATGAACATGTGAAACTGATCAAGAATTTAGTTGAGAAGGGAGAAGAAAATGGATTCTTCGTGAGAAATGATATTTTGTACAAATTTGAAAATGGTAAAGATCTTCTAGTAGTGCCAGAATCCTTACAGAATGAAATCATACAGAAGGTACATAAAAAAGGTCACTTTGCTGTAGATAAAACTGTGAATGCTGTAGAGCAAGAATTCTATATTCCCAGACTGAAATGCAAAGTTGAAAAAGTAATTGCTAACTGTATAGAATGTATACTGTACAACAAGAAGCAAGGAAAAGCAGAAGGATTTCTTCATCCTGTACCGAAAGAAAACGTTCCCTTGAGTACGTATCATATCGACTTTATTGGACCTCTTCCATCGACGAACAAGAGATACCAACACATTCTAACTGTTGTCGACGCTTTTACGAAATTTACTTGGTTCTATCCAGTGAAATCACCAACTACGCAAGAAGTTATTTCAAAATTGAAGCAACAACAGACTGTATTTGGAAATCCAGCCAGAATCATTTCAGATCGAGGTAGTGCCTTTACATCGAAAGAATTTTCAGCTTATTGTACTGAAGAAGGAATAGAACATGTCAAAATTACTACCGGTATTCCAAGAGGTAACGGACAAATTGAGCGAATTCATAGAATTTTGATTCCTGTTTTGTCAAAATTATCACATGAAGATTCAACGAAATGGTTTAAGTATGTTCCAGATGTTCAGAGAATAATCAACAGTACAACTACGAGAAGTACGAAATATTCACCGTTTGAGCTTCTCATAGGCACGAAAATGAAGAATAAAGAAGATTTGAGAATTAGTGAGATATTGAATGAAGAATATCTAAAACAATTGATGCAAGAACGTGATGAAATGAGAGAAGATGCTAAAAAACAACATTTTGAAGATTACAAGAAGAGAATCGAAAACAATTCAACAAGAAACGTAAGAAACCGAAACTATACAAGATTGGCGACTTGGTAGCCATTCAGAGAACTCAATATGGGACTGGTTTGAAACTACGACCTAAGTTTCATGGACCGTATAAAATCATAGCTGTTCGATCAAATGACAGATATGAAGTCGAGAAAGTAGGATGCCATGAAGGACCAAATTTGACATCTACTGCGGCTGACCATATGAAGCCATGGTCAAATTGATTTGATGTTTGTATCAGCTCAAAACCTAAGGACCTGATACTCTTTTTTCTTTTTTTTTTTTTTTATTATCTTTGCAGGTACATGATAGTGATGTCCATTCAACAGACATCGAGGACGATGCCTCTTCAGGCTGGCCGAAGCTGTGGGAAATCATCAACGTCCAATGCTGAATTAGAACCAGGATTATGACGTCATCAGTATAGCATCACCCAGCGCAGTAAGAATCATCCCAGACAGCGCTGAGACCTGGTCGAGAGTGGAGGGCAGACGTGAGCAGACGGCTCACACGTCTTCAAGAGTTTATGAACTTTAATTGTGCTTTTGATGTTATGCCTAGGTGTAAAAGGACATCATTATGTTAATCCTGCATACCGTTAACTTCATCTTTATATACTTTTCTTAATTACTTTTATTTCTTCCTATTAAATAAACCATTTAAATATTACTTCGTGCTCTCATGCTGTGAATTAAGTCAAATTCTACATAAATACACTAGTGTGCAAATCTTAAGCAAATTTATTTTTCGACGTATAACCATGAAATTGTGGAAAAGAACATTTTGTGATCAATAAAGTAAAAGGTCAATTCAGTAGAAAGGTAATGCATATGCAAGTTAAATGTAATGTCTGTGTGTAACTTAAACCTGTTAATAAATACTTGCTATACTATACCGGATTCTTCTATGACCCTATCTAAAACTACCTCCCTTCACATTTGTAAATTTACTACAAATATTACGCTGATTCTTGTTGTTTGACTTCTTCAATAATCATTATTCCGAGTGTTATTTTAACCTAAATTTTAAGAACTATTACTTAAATTTTTTACGATGGTATTTTTTAAACAATTAATTGAAATTTTTCATTAGCTGTAGGAACCTGGAAAAAAAAAAAAAAAAAAAAAAAAAAAAAAAAAAAAAAAAGAGAGAGAGAATAGAATATGCACAATCAAAAAGTCTATTGACAATACGAGAAAAATATCAAATGTAGCGATTCACTCTAATAAAAATGCCAGGCAATCTTCAAGAGAACAAACGGTGATTAAAGTTAGTTTTGAAACAAGTTTTAAGATAAGTCGTAATAAATTGTTTCACAACTATCAAATGCATAAATTCATTTTGCTAAGTTGTCCTACAAGACAGACTATTTTGTTACTGAAGAAATTCAGAATTACATTTAAGGATTAGCAAAACTGTTCATCAGCTTGTTAAAAATAAGCATAAAGAAAACATTCTTTTTAATTGAAAATTTTAAAGTACTGTTGCATGCGTACGTGTTTATAAAAGATTAAATGCACACTGGTCCGATGATAAGACAATAAAATTTATTTTTATCAAATGAAACTACTTCAGAATATTGGAACTTTCCGCAAAAATAATCGTGCAGGTGTTCACAGTACCACACAGTACAATTAGTAGTTACATTTCAAACTACTATGAGCGCTAAACACAAGGGCAAGTAAAGCTCACCTAAAGAGAAAGCTAACTGGGAGATATCTCAATTCACGGTGAACTAACAACTCGCAACAACAATAACTGAGAGCAGATTCTGTCTCCGGCATTATACAATTTTCAACCCTGCCGCCGATATATCTCCAGCACTTTACTAAAAAGCAATATGAGGGTCGAATTACGGTTGCAGCTAATATGGTGATCGATTACATCTATCCAGTTACAAAATGCACTACCGTGACACAAAGACTAGACCAAAAATGTTGCCAAATCGTTGCCAAGTCTGGCGAATTTTGGCGACAAATTAAGTCGCCAAAGCCATTGTCAGCTTAGCATTTCCTTACGTCAGTATCTAGTGAAGCAGTATCTTTTAAACAGTATCTAGTGAAGAATAATTATATGAATTATAAAATTATTAAAATAATGACAATATTCCAATCTTATTAAACGAAACATGACGCTCGTAACTGCAAGTTCTAGCCTCATTTTAACATCCAAAATACTTGGTGTATAATGCATATGATTAAATGTTAAATATTTGTATTTTATAGAGAATAAATACGAGAAAACTTTTCCTGCCTACATTTTGGTAAATTATAGATGTTTCCTTATCATGAAATGGGTAGCCTGTATATTGCTGATGGTAAAATGAATGTTGTTCAGCATCACTTGTAGAAGCTATATTTTCTGCAATTAAGAACATGTTCAAAAAAATCAGTTTCAGCTTTCAGAACAGCAGCCTGCGAGAAATACACTTTAATTAGATTCGGAGGCTGCAGTAATTGTTTTATCGTTAACTTAAGATCTTGAATGAAAATGTACGCAAAGTATTACAGTAAGTTTAATTGAGACCAAAATTTCATCCTCCTGTGATCTAAAAGCAGACGATGAGTTTGAAAACGCTTTGAATATCATATCTGAAGAATGGTCTTAAAAATTAAAATTAAAGGCTTTCAATTAAGGGTAAATTGCCTGTTTTCAAAAGGAACTAAATTTTGTTGAATTATTTTAGTTTCATTTAAAAATGGCTCTTACACCCAACTTCGTTCTACAATCACTGTAGTTTACAAGAAATGTAAAGAATGCTTATGTCAAAATACACCTTTTCTTTTGATCAACGGCATGTAGAACGAACACAATTTTATATAATGCTAATATTTCGCAAAACATTTCCAATTTATTGCCGCCAAATTCGCTATTACATATTCTGTTTGAAAGATTCTAAACCTTTTAAAATATTCATATTTATCAAAAGTAAACTCACTCGGGATATTACCATACTTTTCTTTTAGTCGTATTTGTAATTAGTTATTTTGAAATAGAATGTTTTCTGGCTTAATATGTTTGAAAAATTTGATTTGAGATATAATGATCATGTTATTGGTATTATTGCTATTGTTTCTCGATACGCTTTCTGATTGTCTGCAAGTATAACTAGAGAATTAATCTTCATTCGTCGTTCATTTCAGGGACATGTCATAATCACAGACTCTTTCCTTCAGAAGAATTCCTAGAGAAGAATCCAGAGGTGGACAGAACAATTTTAGGTAAGACTTTATAGTTTGCTTGATTCTTATTAAAAAAATACTAAAGTTTAGATTCCGAGTTTTTGAACTGTATTTCTTCTTAAGTGAGTATACTGATGAACTCAATTTAATTGTACAAGTGTAAGTATTATGCTCATTTTCTTTAACCCGGGTGCCCCATATACGCATTCCCTAAGAACGTCTCTTACAGCCGTGCGTCCCAACCACGCGTCACTAGAGATTGCACTCAGAGGACGGGTGGTGCGTATACGCATTTTAAGCTGGAAAGTTTTTCTGAATTCCACTAGATGACATCCTATGTCCATTACTTTTCAAATGAACACAGTTTTAGGTTCTTGACCTTAAGTTTGATATATTCTGCCTGACTTTTATATTATTTTACTCATAAACTGTTGCGGGGAGGCGGAGGGAAAGCGTAAACAGAGGTGGGCCTTTTAAATCGCCGCGTGCTAATATAAACATTCGCGTGTTTGATATATATCCAATTCCTTTTTTTATTCTATTTCCCCACCTACTATGTACGGTCTTTTAGGGTTACTTATGTGGAGTTCTGTTACGTTTTGCATTGCATTCAGATACATTTCCGTTTCTTCTCTTTTTATTTCTAAAAGCCTCACCTCCAGTCAATTATGGCCGGAAGGCGCTATTTATCAGATGAAGAATACCCTCGTATGGTTAAAGAACCATTTACTAACGCAGATGAGAGCGATTATTCCTTTTCTAAAGCGTTAGAAAGTGATACTTTTTTCTAAGAGTTGGAAAGTGATACTTCCACGTGTTTCGAGATTTACCCCACTCAATCTTCATTTTAAATTTTGTTACTTCATACTGTAAATAGTCATGTGTTGTTTTATTAATTTTAAACTTTATAGATGGATTTTATCAATTAAAACTTTGGGATAATTTGAATAGCGCTTCCGAAAATTATTTTACAAGGTAAGCAAATTTTTAAGTATGTTTTCATGTAAAATAAAGAAAAAAAAAACGTTATTAAGTACTAATTTTAACATATATAAGAGCTCAAGTAATAATCTAAAATGATACCAAAAATTACGATGTTAGAAGTGAAACTTTTTATTTTTCCTGATTTTTTTTATAAAATTAGGCTTAGCGATGCAAAACCTCCGGCCTGTACGGTGACTGCCATTCATTCCCTTCCGTGCCGCACTAACGTCTTAAACAAAGGTGCGCCGGTGCGAATAAAAAATACTAAAATTTAGATTCCGAGTTTTTGAACTGTATTTCTTTCTTAAGTGACTTTACTGATGAACTCAATTTAATTGTACAAGTGTAAGTAAGATGCTCGTTTTCTTTAAAACGTCTTGTGTACTACAGGAAACATAAAAATGTGCCATAATGATGCAGAAGCCAAGAAATATTTTAATGGTAAACTAAATAAACATTATTTTTTGAATTTTTATCATTCATCTGAATTTTTTTTAAATAATATATTATCAATGGCAAATAAATTTTGAACTGAATCAGTTCTGATACATAAAAATAAGAAAGCCATTATTTTTTTTTCAAAAAAGGATTAGTTATTTCTGGGGAAAAAAGTAGCTATTCAAGGCAGCCTTTAACTTTGGGAATATGATTTAACATCACAGTTCATTAACTCGATTCCAATCTTAAGCCCCAAAAGGACGTTTTGGAAACAAGTAATCTGTTAGAAAAACAAATTTGATAAAAATAGCATATGAAGTAAAAGGTGTTAGGGTTTGTCGTGCAACTAAAATGAAATGAATTTTACGATTTGTGTCTTTCTGATCTGTGCAATTTACGACCTGATACTGATTAGCTTCGATGAATGGGTCTGCAAATGCCAGAGAGAGTGTTTCTTGCGAGTGTTTCTCATTTTATTTCCCAGAGGAGAATACCAGAAAATTTTAGATGAAAAGGTACGCAAAATCCGAGCAACATTTGTCCTGCTTGGACCCAAATGTGAAGATGGTGTTATGGCTTGAATAAAGACTTTTTTCGACCACTGAATGTCAATGCGAAAAATAATAGAGGCACATTACTTTTGTAAACGATAAGTTGCAACAGGCTGAAGTAGAAAATTTTTTCGATCTGTTTTGACGCAATGTAAACGCTGCTGATGAGATATTCGACTTTTTATATTAGATTGTGGTATTCGAATTAATTCGTTTTAAAGTTAAATGTTGATTTTTGATAGAATTACTACAGAACCACTACATATAGAATTTTAGAATGGCCAATCGTAAATAGAATTAACGTAGAATTTTGAAGATATGCCGATCCATTAGTGCTCAGATGGCCATGTTCTCTAATTCGAAAGCAGCTGTCGAAATTATTGAATTTGTCGAAACTCTCTCTTAAAAATGGTTTATGGTATATGATTAAAGAGATTACGTTGTAGTGGATGTCTAGTTATTTTGAGATCAATGTGTTTCAAACAACATTTTAGACTAAATAAGAAACCCTCTTAACAGTTAGGTTTTAGAATTTAAGCGGTTGGCAAGAACAAAATATTGAAAATTAGCAAAAGTTAAGCGTATTTGTGAACGGTTAGTAAATCTGCTTTGCTTTCCGGATGATTACTTCGTGATTATATTCATCATATATTCATCGTTTATTATCGTTGCGGTTTAAGTATTACAATTATTATGCACTTTTTGTTTTGTCGTCGTTTTGTCTGTAAAAATGTTTTGAATTTTTGAATAGCTGAGATAAGATTCTTATAAACGGGTTGCAGAAAATTCCGAATATATAAATAAATATATATATATATATATATATATGTATAATTTCACCCATAAACTTCTTAAAAATGGGTAAGAATAATACATTTAATATTAGAGCAAAAGGTTTTTCAAATAGATAAAAAATTATATAATTTAATTTTTTTCGTCTCCTAAACACTTTATCAAAATGTTCAATTTTGGAATTTTACTTATTTAACTAATTAATTTAAGAATAGTTTTAAAATTTAACATTGATGCAATTCTTGAAATGTTATAAAACCGGAATTAGATAAAACTATACTTTGTAACACGATACGAATGATTTTAATCGGATGATTAAAACCTATTATTTAAATAATGATTTTAATCAAAGATTAAGTAATAGTTTAATTAATCAAACAATGATTTCCAGACGGTTGATCACAAGTAATGAACAGTCTGCGTATGAGTTTGTAGAATAACTGGAAGTGTAGTTGAATCTATTGACCATTAAACATCATATAGAAGTTAATATTTACTTATCCTTATTGCTGAGGCCATCAAAAGGTTTAAAAGAAATTTAAATGTAAAATTTAGTTTTCCGTCAGTAATGCAGCAAATAAGGCAAAAATGAGAAAAGAATCAAAAAAAAAATTATAGCTTGCCGTTGTTTATGCCTTATATATTATGGTTTTGTCACATATACTTAATTTATTGGCTAAAGATATAGATATATAAAATGTTTTTTAACATGTAAATCAAGTCGGAAATGTTTTCGAAATCACCATTTATTTGGATCTCTTACTTGGTTTGATGCCAGTATTATTTACTTCGAATAAAGTCCTGAAGGATAACTGAAGCATTGTTCAAGCTGCTAAAGTTTGCTAAGATCTCAAAAACAGCTTAAAAACTTGAATGAAGTACACATAAAATTATATAAAACAAAATATGAACAACATGGTTTTAGCATGAATATAAAGCAGATGCCTTATTAGCACCTGAAAAGGAACATTTATTCGAATTAATAAAGTAATACACATACTTTTTTACGGCATTACATTGAAATTTCTTAGTCATCTGCAGACTCTCTGCAGAACTCCTTTCGGAAACTACACATTCAAGTCAGTGATTCTACTTGAATAGTGGAAATGAGAAAGAGAATGTACAGTAAAAAACTAGATATCATTAAAATGTTATCCACTTCCAGAAAAGAACAGCTTATGTTTTGCCTGTCATGTGTGTGCGAGAGTGAGTCTCAATAGCCATGTTTACAGAAAATACGAGCTGTAGGTATTTGTGTTTTTGAGCATGGGGTAAGAGAGATTAGATTTGACTTGGTTGCATGGGGTGAGAGAATGAGTTCTAGTTGTTGGTTATGGTAACAATGGCGTCTTCAGAGTCAAAACTAAGATTATTATAAGTTATAATGAATTTTGCTTTCTTTATCCCCTCTCGCTTCCGTCGAAGTACTATCCACTGAATCCTCGTAAGATAGTATCATGAAAAAAACTGTGTTGCATTGCTGGGGTGCAGGATATTGGCATCCAAATTAAGAGAGCGGTACTGGATCATTTCGTCCAAGCGAAATATAAGATCTTGCTTGAGTCGGATGTGTCGTTTGCAGAAGATTCACTACCAAAGCTTTATCCAAACTTCCTATACAGTAACCCCTCGATAGAGTAAGGGATCTAGCATTTTTCAAAACAACTGGATTCGATCTCTGTGGCTGTGTGCTTCTGAGACCAAAGGGAAGACCTTCAATAGTCTTGTTCACTTGCGCCGTGTACAGGGCGGTTAACCTGTAACCTATGACCTCTCTGAGTACCGAAGTTTTTCTGCAAGCTCTGAAATGGTTCATTTCTAGACAGGCCGTCCTTCGACCATGTATTCCTATAAAGAAACCAAATTTACCGGGGTGTATTTGTAAATAGTAAACGAAATTCGGAAATTCTCGAAACAAGAATGTTGGAGGCGCACCCCTGTAAAATTGAATCCTGCAGTCGTGGCATCTCGTGAATTTACTTCCCACTATTATTGGCATTGCGGTTAGTGAGAGTGCTCCAAATTTCTGATAATTTTCCGGAAGAGTGGCCATGTTTCAGTTCCAAAAGTTCAAGTTTAGGAAAAGAGCTCCAACCCTTTTCGCGGCATATAAATAAGTGGAGATTTTATATTATTGTAGATGTGCATAATTTGTAATAACTTTAATATAACTGTAGATAGAATGGAGCCTAGCAAAATATTAGAGTTTAATAAGCACTTGCAAAAAATGTAATTCGTGAAATTTCGAAACCATAATGATGCATGAGCACACCGTTCAAATTGAAATG